CTGCGGGGCAATGCGGAGTCACGGCGGGGATGGGCTGTCCCAGGTGTCCCACGAAGGGGTGCGTCGCAGTGTCACGCTGGTTGACCCCGCCGCGGCGCAGGACGTCGCCGTGCTGCTGTGGCTTGACGTCACGGAGGACGGGGACGGCGAAGGGGTCCCCTTGGCGGTGCGCGGGCGGCTGTCTATAGGAGTGGTCGAGGCCGCTGCGACGGAGGCGGGCCGGGCAGAGACGGGAATCCCCCCTTCTACGGTGGGGGGCAGCCCAAGTGAGGGGAGCCCCACCGCAACGGACCAGGCCGAGAGCGCGTTGATCTGGTACGCCGAACGCCTTCGTCGGGAGCTGATGCACAAGCGCGTCATTATTTCTGGGATGATACGTGTGGAGCAGCGGTACGATGCGGATGCGGACAAGTTTATTGAGGTGCCGTACATTCAATTGCCGAGGGATGGGCTGCGCATGTCATATCACATTATCTCTTAGCCACACGCTCTTCGCATGGACGCAATGGACAGCCCTCTGCGGCTGTTAAGGGTATATTCAGTGTGTTCCTTTTGCACAGATAAAAAGGGAGCTGTAGACTCTTTGGTTGATATATATATATATATATATATCATACATCCATTCTTGAATGATTTCAGGGTGGTGGTTGTATGCGATAGTTATACATTGATGGATACGTGATCTTCTTTTTCTTGTGCCGTGAGAGCACACGAAGGATAAAAAATGAGTAGCTTTAAAACTATTTTTGTTTGAAATTTCATAGATTTTCTCTTTAGGTCGTTTTACAAGGGATACTTTTGTGCTAGTCTATAGTAATGTTGGTTCGTGCCGGCAGACGTGTGCTTTCGTTTCCATGCACAGCTCTCAGGCGGAGTCACCCTTTTTCCCTATCCACCCCGTTGAGGTTTAACGCATCGAACTCGGATGGATCGGTGGGGGCACCACCACCACTACAGCAGCCCCCTTCGTCTACCGACCAGCCGCGCGTGTCCCCTCCAAAGAAGCGAGATTCCATCAACAGTGTAACCTTGGTTGGCGTTGCGCACGACATCCAGACGGGGTACGTATTCGAAGACGCCGTCACGCAGTTCACACTCACCACCACTAGCCTTGATACCACAAACCCTACTCAGGAGTGCGTCGTAGAGAAGGACCATCACACGATCCGCTGCTTTGGTGACATCTTCTCGCAAGAAATCAAGAATAAGGTGGTGGAGGGTAACGTTGTATGTGTGAACGGGCGACTGCGGTTGAACCCACAGTTGGAGCCCTCATGCAACAAGTACTTTTACTTTCCTTTTATTCATGTGCAACCCCCTCATGGTCAGGTTATGGTAGTGTACAGTGACCGCCGTGCACCACCTTCCCCGGTGGAAGCACCGAATGGGGAAATCGAATCCAGCCCTTCAGAAGAAGGCAAGTGAGAGAATTATTTCATAACACTATTGTTTTAGAGTTTATTGTTGAGCCCTTTTTGGTTTCCTCTGTTGTCAAAGGGTTGGTGCTATTCACATAGATTTGACGTAATAAATATCTGAAATGATAAGCTAATTTTTTCTGCAAAAATTCACCTTTTCCACTGTTTGCGATCTTTCTCTTTTGTTTTTCTCTTTGCTTCTCAACATTTTACTTGTCCCTTTTAATTATTTCTGTACACGGAAGTGATTTTTTTCTGGACAGAAAAGGGTGTGCCATTGTATTCTCTGACTTACTATTCACATAGACTAAAACAAAACAGGAGAAGCGTTGCTTGTTACATGCACCCTCCCCCTCCCTTTCCCCTTTAGACGTTCTTTCATATTTTTTCGGGCTACTCTTTTTAATCCCTTGTAGGAGAGGAGAGTGCGAAGGCGGACTACTTTGTGTAGCGACTGAGGAATTCTAACGGGCAACTAGAAGGCGCGTGCGGGCCCAGCTTAACAACGAAATTAATTTCCAGAGGAAAGGCAGAGGCAAAGTTAGCTACCACACATTTCTTACATAGTGGTAAAATATTGCAGTCTGAAGTATAGGTCATTACTTCCAGTTATATATATAGATATATATACATGTTGACAGAGGAAATGATTCTTGATAAGACTAATGTCCACAGACTTGAAGAGGTCCGCCGTCTCAATCTGTGGGGGAAGGGTCTGACTGACGTTTCTATTGTCTCAAAACTCAAGAATGTCGAGGTTCTGGCGCTGGCGGCAAATCAGATTAGCTCTTTGCAACCCTTTGCGTCGTGCACCACCCTCCAAGAGCTTTATCTGCGTAAGAATGCTGTTGAGGATCTTCGAGAGATTCCTTTTTTGAGGAACCTAGCGAAGCTGCATACACTATGGCTTATGGATAACCCGTGCGCGAGGCATCCAAGGTATCGCGAGTTCGTTCTGCACTGCTGCTCGGCACTGAAGAAGCTGGATAGTCTGGAGGTTTCGCCTGACGAGCGTGCTGCGGCTGAGAAGTCGATGTCGCCAAAAGTAGTGGGTGATATTATGGGCTACGACATCGGACTCTCGGCTATGGTACTGCCCCCCGAAAGGCTTGCGGCTTCAGCGGCAGGCCCCAAATCACCCCACTCGTCAACCTTTCAAGGGGAGTCAAAAAAGCTGAGCGTAACCAGAGAGCATCGTGCCAATGGGGACATGATGAACCATACCAGCCAAGGAGCTCAGCACGCTATGCTGACTGCCATTGTGGCATTGCTTCCTGAGCTGACGTTGAACTCGCTGGAAATGCTTGAGCAGGAGGTTCATGATCATATCGAAATGCACAAGGCAAGGCTCAAGGAGCTGCCATCCAATTCCCATTGATGCCAAAAGAGAGAAATACATTCATTTTTTTCCTCTTTTTTTCGTAAGGATGGATTTGCATTCCTCGTGTGTTTGGGAGGTGCTCATATACTTTCCAGAGACGTATTCACACTGTGTGTTAGTTCGCAAATGCTGCACCTTTGTTTTGCTACGCATCTTCACCCTTCCCGCAGAAGATCAAGTGCCTGTGTGTTCTTCACGATTCCTCCTTTCTCAAAGGTGAAATTATGGATTTGTTGGTAACAAGGTGGGAAAGATGTAAATAGATGGAACGTTGCAGCAAGATTATTATTTAATAAATCGCAATGATTTTCATTATCATTGCCTTATTTTTTTATCGCTATGTTGTCTTGCGTGGTACCCTGGGCCCTACTCAGAAAACATTCTAAGCGAATACAACGAACAGAGGGCACATTTTAATTATCATAGTTTCTGTAATCTGTTGTTATTGAAGAATGGCTATTTTTCTTGGCCTTAAAGTGATGCTTGACAGCTTGGTGTGTATTTTTCATTCGGATTCTTTTGGTTCTTTTCAACTCATCTTGCAAAGGATTTTTTCATGCGTGGGCGTGTTTTCGCAAGCAATAAAAGGCATTTTATTACAAGGAGTCAAAGGAAAGGAAAACCTCTTTTCCACTCATAGGCTTCAGATTGAGTTCATCCGATCGTCCAGCTATAATTATTTTATAGTCTAGGTTAATCTATCCCATTATAGGTCCTCACAAAGTAATAAACTACAGAAAAGGTAAATTATCACTCCTTTGTAGAATTCTACCTGAGACGTCTATATATTTACGTATTTGTTTACTAGAGAATACTTAACAACAACAATAAGAAAGTGCAGAGCTAATAGTAGGTAAAATGACCAGCGAGATTGAAGATCGTATTTTGCGTAAATATGAGATTCAAACCCAACTCGGGAAAGGCGCGTACGGGATTGTTTGGCGAGCCGTCGAGCGTAGCACAAAACGAATTGTCGCAGTGAAGAAAATTTTTGATGCCTTTCAAAACTCGACGGATGCGCAGCGAACATTTCGCGAGGTCATGTTTCTGTATCACTTACATCATCCAAATATCATTAAGCTTCTTCATGTACATCGTGCATTCAATGATCGCGATATTTACGTAGTTTTCGAATATATGGAAACAGATTTGCACATTGTTATCAAAGCAAACATCCTTGCTGACATTCATCGCCAGTTTATTGTCTATCAGCTTCTCAAGACAATGAAGTATTTACATTCGGCTGAGATTCTGCATCGCGATATGAAGCCCAGCAACCTGCTGCTGAATAGTGACTGCACCATGAAGGTGGCCGACTTTGGTCTTGCACGGTCGATTTTATCTCTAGAGAAAGAGCAGCTGACGCGTCCTTCCCTGACAGACTACATCGCTACGCGGTGGTACCGGCCGCCCGAGATTTTACTTGGGAGCACGTCCTACACAAAGGGTGTGGACATGTGGTCGGTGGGGTGTATTATAGGCGAGCTCATCCTTGGCAAACCCATCTTTCCCGGTCGATCCACCACGCACCAGCTGGAGCTCATCATCAGCGTCACGGGTGACCCCACGCCCTCGGACATCGCCGCCACGAACTCGCAGTTCGCGGAGGCCATGCTGCGCGATATCCCCCGCACCAAACCGCGGACCTTCGCGGAGCTCCTCCCCAGCGCCTCGCCGGACGCCCTCGACCTCGTCCAGAAGCTGATCTGCTTCAACCTCAACGAGCGCATCACCGCGGAGCAGGCGCTGGAGCACCCCTACGTCGCCCCATTCCACTGCCCCAAGGAAGAGATCGCGGCGCCGGAGCCGATCATCATCTCCCTCCCCGATGACACCCGCTTCACCCTGCAGGAGTACCGTGAAAAGCTCTACGAGGAGATCGCGCGGATGCGACGCAACGCACGGCGGGAAACGGGCGTAGGCGGGGGAGGGGGTCGGCCGCAGCCCGCCACGACCCCGGCCTCACCGCCCTCCTCCTCATCGCTGAACGGCCGCGGGCATGCCGGGAAAGGGG